CTGTTTAGTATTCTTGTAGACCCTTTTGGGACCAACACTATGTCATTTTGACGACTAAGGTGACGTTTGGTTCGCAAAATGTTTTTGTATGAAATGAAACATGTCAAAGATATTTGACTTTGAAGGAATTAGAATGAAATGTTATCGGACTTGACCATGACATTGGAATCGAATCTGTTAAGAAATTGGAATATGTCTGTTTAGTTTACAGAATATAGTTTTGTAATTGGAATGAAGTATTGGCAAATGACCAAAACGCCCTTTTTTGAAAACTTCAAAAAAATTTTAAACCAAAAATACTTTAATAAAATAATTATTTGATGTGTAAAATAACATAAAATACACAACCCAAATATAACTATAAACCAAACTCCGTTAGTAAATCGATATTAAAATTGTCTGAAAATAACTAATTCCTTATAATGTAAAATAGCTAATCCAGTGGTGGTCGGAGGTGGTTCAGATCGGCAGTGGTCGACCGTGGCTCAGACGGAAATGGTTCAGAACGGTGGTGGTCTGTGGTGGTTCAGATGGTGGTGGTTGGTAGTGGTTCAGATCAGTGGTGGTTCACAGTGGTTTAGATCAGCGGTGGTCGACTGTGGTTCAGACATCGGTGGTTCAAATCGGTGGTGGTCCACGGAGGTTCAAATTAGTGGTGGTCCGTGATGGTTCAGATGCCGGTGGTCGGTGGTGGTTCAGATTGGTGGCGGCCGACGATCTTTCAGATCGATAGTAGTCGGGGGTGGTTTAGATTGGTGGTGGTCCATGGTGGTTCAGATGGCTGTGGTCGGCGGTGATTCATATTGGTGGTGGTCCGTGGTGGTTCAGGTGGTTCAGATCGATGATGGTTTGGGTCGGGGGTGGTTCAGATTGGCGGTGGCCGGCTATGGTTCAGATTGGTGGTTCAGATGGCGGTGATCGGCGGTGATTTAGATCGGTGGTGCTTCAGATCGGCGGTGGTCGATGGTTGTTCAGATTGGTAGCGGTCGGCGGTGGTTTAAATGGCGATGGTCGACAGTGGTTTAGATGATGATGGTCGACGGTGATTCAAATCGACGGTGGTCGGAGGTGGTTGACGACGGTCATATAAGTTTTTATGAGATTAGGGTATATTGAGTTAAGGGCATATTTGGTATTATAAAAATAGAGAATTTCATTTCATTAAAATACCATGTAGTTACTAAGAAATGTTAAATTTATTTATTTATGGAATTTGTAGGATTTTGAAGATTCCTTTCGTGAAAAAATGCACCAAATGAGGGAATAAAATTTGGTCAATGGAATTCAACAATCCAATTTCATCAGATTCCTTCAGCATCTGCAACAAACGCCCTCTAATAATCTTACATGGTAACCACTTACCAGATAAGATTATTCCCTACTATGCCATTTTGATAACCAAACAATAAGCGTTTGATAAACATCCCACTTAATTTTTAAAACACGTGTGTACATAGGCGATTGTCACCATTGATAATCACTCTTGAAAGTGGAGACTAGAAATTATGGTTTCCATTGCTAAGGGATCGTTTACCAAATGCTTACTCAGGTAAATGCTTACCATAAAATTTAACATTATCAATTACTTACTGGGTAAGGTTTTAGTCCACCAAAACGGTATCGTATACAACAATTTACCTGGTAAGCGCTAACTGTACTAAGAGTCGTTGCATCATTTACCATGTAAGACTCTCGGTCCTTATCTTCGCTCTTACAGGGTAAAATTCTTGATCCTTGCTATATTCATTCGGTAAGGTAATGTGACTTGGTAAGCGCTTACCCGAGTAAGTGTTTGGTAAACAACCCCTATATAATCTTTTATCACCAGGTACCATACAAAGACCTTTAAGTAAGTAAGGGATTGTTTGGTAATGGCTTAATAGGCTTAA